CAGCCTGATAGCCGGCAATAGCAACGGTAGCGTTCACTGGAGTCACGCCACCCTTCAAGCATTTATCTGCAGGAGAGCAGGATTGCGGTCGTTTGGCTCCTCCTGAGGGGTAACTTACGCGAGGCGTATCGCTGGGGGCGTATTGCGTGCTTATTCCCATTCACGGCCGTTGCATCACTTTCAAAAACAAGCGCAGTTCAAAAACAAGATCATGCCCAATTTATGCAGAGCTCGGCGCATTCCGCGGTCGCCGACAAGCTACACCGGTGAAAAGGGCAAGTTGGCACCCACAGGTGGAAGCATGGAAGGCACCCACAGTGCCGCGGGGCGCTGCTAAAAATTAGGAAATGGGAAGTCTGCCTGACGCGCGAAGACAATGTAGCTGACGACTTTCACTAGATTAAAAAAAAACAGCTGATGGAGGGGCGCCATTGCAATGGATGATTTACGTATGAACGGCTGTAGCTTCACACCCACGCACAGTAATTCTGCTCTCACGCGTAGGGGAGCGCCGTCCAATCCTGCGCCTGCGGCGGACGCGAGCACCAGCGCCGGGCTCCCGTATCCGGACGCACGTCAGCTGCTGCCCTCTAGTGCACATTCAGGTGACTGTGAGTGCCATTATCGACCGGCAGGTGCCGCTAGTCTCTTCTGAGCGCGGTAGCGTGTGCGCAGGACACGTCGGACATCCGTCAATCTAGCAGCAGATCTGATATCCAATTGCCAGTTGGATATTGCGGGGCATCTCGATTGCCCCCAAATTTGGTGTGCAGGGCCTTCTCAACACGCTGATTCCGAAAATTAATGCCTTTGGTGTGGAATTTTGCGTAATTTTCGAGTTATACGCTGCGTAACATCCCAATGTGACATTGCGGGGCGTCTCGATTGCCCCCAAATTTGGTGTGCAGGGCCTTCTCACTACGCTGATTCCGAAAATTTTACTGCTTTTGGGGTGGAATTTTGCGTAATTTTCCAGTTATACGCTGGCGTAATATCCCAATGTGATATTGCGGGCGTCTTGATTGCCCCCAAATTTGGCACGCAGGGCCTTCTCAACACGCTGATTCGAAAATCACTGCCTTTGGGGTGGAATTTTGCGTAATTTTCGAGTTATACGCTGCGTAACATCCCAATGTGATATTGCGAGGCGTCTCCGATTGCCCCCAAATTTGGTTGGCAGGGCCTTCTCAACACGCTGATTCCGAAAATAACAACTTTGGGGTGGAATTTTGCGTAATTTTCGAGTTTTACGCTGCGTAACATCCCAATGTGATATTGCGGGGCGTCTCGATTGCCCCCAATGGTGTGCAGGGCCTTCTCAACAGCTGATCCGAAATCACTACCTTTTGGGGTGGAATTTTGTGTAATTTTCGAGTTTTTACGCTGCGTAACATCCCAATGTGATTTTGCGGGGCGTCTCGATTGCCCCCAAATTTGGTGGTGCAGGCCTTCTCGACACGCTGATTCCGAAAACCACTGCCTTTTGGGGTGGAATTTGCGCGTAATTTTTCGAGTTATACGCTGCGTGACATCCCAATGTGATATTGCGGGGCGTCTCGATTGCCCCCAAATTTGGTGTCTGGAAGCCTGGCCTGGCTGGGGGGGGGGGGGGGGAGGACAGAAAGCTGCCCATCGGGGTGCGGGTGAAAACGATCTGTCACAGCCGCATGTCGCACCCAAGGTGGAAGGATCGCAAGCTCCTGAATGAATAAGGGGCCCCAATCCAGTGAAGGGCTTCCTCATCCCAGCACAGAGATCCTCCTGGCTTCCTGATCCCGAACAAGGCCTTCTGAAGCAGGCTGTCTATGGATACATGAAGGGGTCTCCTGACCGAACACAGCAGCCTCTTGATTTCTGGAGTGCCTCTTAACAGAAGTCTGCTGATTCACAACGGGCCGGTGAGCCAGTAACGACGCAACGCAATATACATCATGTGGAATTCTGTTCCAGCCCAGGACATAAACAATTCACAAAAGGGCTTCTTGGTCCGGCAGAGTGGCATCTTGGCGCAAACAACGGCTTCCTGAGCTCAGTGAAGGACCCTATAGCTCAGTCATGGTCCTCCTCGACCCGAATTTCCACAATACATGCGCAACTACAAAGCATTTAGGTTTGCTAAAAATGAACCTCACAAATGAGTGTGTGTGGGGGGGGGGGGGCGGGGCACAAAACGCATGGTATTGGCGGCCATGCTGGCAGACAGGGGACTGCCGCCTCTCTTCCCTGCCCGTTCCCGCAACTGCTGTCCCGCCTGCAACAAAACGGCCCCTCTGGCTTTCACGTGTTTGTGGGGGCCTATGGCCGACATGTTAAGAGTACAAATGATCTCTTGGCCATGCGGAGAGCCCAGGATTTGTTCCGAAGGGGGCGCTGTGAGATTGACTCTCAGGACCCCAGGATGGCTTCATTTTGATGCATTTTGACGATTTACCCAGCCGCCTTTTTACGCTTTACTTGCACCCTTTGGATCTGTGATCTGGCCCGGTCCTGTCATTTTCTTTTTTCAAACATGAATCATGATCATAAATGATTCAATGTCGCAGATGCATGAATCGATGTCCCAAAGCGTCCAAAATTTTTAGCTCAGAACCGACATCAAACGCTATTTATTTCATAACCGTCACCGTTTTTTGTCCGCTCATTCTCCGCCACATAGAGTACGCCGCAGCGCCAAGGCCACGTGGCCTATGGAGACTGCAGCACAAGGCGTCGGGGTTTTGTTATAAGTCTTGCGAGCGCGCGTACTCAAAACCATGTTACATAGTTTTCTTCCCTTTTGTTCTGAATGAAGGTCGGACATTCCCCTACGAATAACGTGCTGGCCATGTTAAACCTTTTTTAAACCCATTTCGATATATGATAGTGCTCGTGGGTCCGCATAGCGTCCTCAACATCTCTGTAGAACTCAGAACAATTATTCTGGCAAATCCTCGAGTTCTGTCCGCTTAGGAAGAGCCTGCTAGACCATTGCGAAATAGAAAGCGCCGGTGGTTTATTCCATGCAGCCATTTAATGCTGTTTTCTTCAGTTTATAGCTTCGAAATATGGCCCGAGTTGCATCTTCCGGTAGTTTCTGGCATCCATTCTGCAATTAAGGAAAAAATAAAATAGCATGAAGAAAATCGTAGCCCACGAAATCGAGCAGACTTTATCCCGTGTTTTTTTTTCGTGGGGATTTCGTCAACCCTGTGCCCCTCCCCCTTTATCAATGTCCTGGCTGCGCCCCTGATCATATTGGCATGGATACCCACGCCTAGGTGCTCATGGCGTTTGGACAACTTGCCAGGTGTGGTCCTGTTTAGCGGAATTAGAAGATTATTTTCATCAGCATTTGTCCGCGCTTGGATTGGCTGCCTGATGTGATAGCGGTACAATTTTACCAACCAACATAACAAAGCACGCAACGCTTGAATTGCTAACAATCTTTAGCCCACGAAAGGCTTGCCAAAAAACCTCAAGCTGCTTGCCCTGTCAGACGTGGCCAGTGGCGGGACGGAGGGGCGAGAACCTGCATCCTCAATCGCTGCCCTCGTTCCCACGCAGCTCGGCGCAGCCAGGCCAGGGTCTGACCCAGATAAACGCCCACCCCCTCATTTCAGGGGCGGGAGACCGCACACGGGCTGTTTACGCACATGATTTCTCAGGACCGGTACCTCTGGCCGCATGAAACGGGGACAGCCCGCTCCGGACGCGAGACGCCACAGGCATGGACTTGTTATTCGGGGTTGTCCCGAAATGGCTGGCGTTCTCGCGCCGGCTGTTGTTAGCGCTGAGGACCCGGTCTCGATGCTGAGTCTTGTTCGCCCAGCGTGCCGGTCGGTCTCGGGGCGTCAGCCGAGCGGTGACGCTGCTGCTGCTTGGGGCCCGAGCGTGCCATGGGCTCTGGGTCAGCTTCCCGTGCGCGTTCACTGCGGTCTGACCGGGTTCCCGGGTCAGCGGGCGACAACGTTCTCCCCCCCCCCCCCCCCTGTATCATCGCCATCTGTATTCGCGTCACTTATTGGTGCCAGGAGAATGGAGCGAGGAGACAAAATCATTCAGAAGAAACCGAACGTAACGCGGGGTAAAATTTGGACGTGGAAGGCCAGTTGCAAGCTTGCACGAGCGGGCAGGTCGGGGAAGTCGGTCTGACCGATAACAGTGGGCATTGCGGCGAATGTAAAGAGACGATCGATCTACGCCAAATTTTTCGAAAGACGGGGGAATGTGTACTTTGATGGGAATAAGGAATCCTGCAAGGCTACCAGCAGAGGGAAAGCATTTGGTTGCAAAATGTGGCAGTCAAAAAATCTTAATCACATTCACAAGTATTAGCGTCTCAGAAAACAAATTTCTCTGAACACTGTTGAGGTCTAATCATAGATCATCATCAGCGAACCCAGGCCTCTGCCCCACATCGCCAAAACCGTCATTGTTTTACGTTCATTGTCGTCTGTTGTCTGACCGTTAAATAATTGATCCCCTCCCTCTCCCACACCATATGGCTGGACTTACTCTGTGGTATGCATTATGTTAACGCTGATCTACTTGACAAGCATCCACGTGGGTTTCAAATATTTTGTCAGGGATAATACGGTTATGGCCAAAACTCCAGTGCGCACTTTTCCTGAGTTTTCGCGATCTTTCCCTAGTGTTTTTTTTTTCTGAAAGAAACTGCACGAAACATAACGCGAGTAGAAGCCGGGGAAAACTTCAAACTTGTGGTAGGTTAGTTATGTCGTGCCCCCCCCCCCCCCCCCAAGCAAGCAGATGGATCCGCCCGCGCCCTAACTTGTCGCCCCAGCACGCAACAAAACATCCGGAAACAGCTCACGCTCCGAACAAAACTGGAGACGATGTTTCCCTTTTACGTCGGATTTGGATTACGTTTTTAAACATTATGGCTAACTACTACGCTGTATTTTGGGAACGCATCCTAAACTGCGCATCCTAATCGTCATTCATCTCACCGCATGCTGTTCCGGTATTCATCATGTGGCCTCGTAAACCTTCCAGTTCCATTGTAAACCTTCCAGTCCCGCAGCACGGGGAGCGATCCGACACTCGCAGTACCCTGCGATTAAAAACAGTAGCTGCGAATCTCAAGATCTTTGCATTGCCCAAGAATGGCAAGACCTCGAGGGTCGATCTTTTTCTATTAAACAGTCAACGTCTGCCTGGCGGAACAGGCTGAGGGCGCATCTGGGCACATCTTCCCACACTGGCTACCCGCCAGCGGAACACGCGTCTGAGTATCAAAGGCTAATATCTGAATACAAAGCAACGAAATGCGAATCGCGACAGGAACAGGTCTTGGATAGCACTCGCCTTATGGCCGATATCACAGATGCAGAACCCTCGTCACCACGTTCCTTGCGGTTGTTCGCTTTGCCCAGCAACTACACGCTCAGCCGATGGTGACATAATAATGGCGATTCAGCGGTATCACACAGCCCATACAATCAGCGCATAAACAGAGGCACACGCCTTCACTAATCCAGACATGGTAAGTGTGCGCACGCAGTCACTCGGCTGGCGACACAGGCGACTTCTCTTCTCGACTCATCACGATCAATCTCCTCCCATGGACCATCTCATCACGATCAATCTCCTCCCAAAGACCATCGTCCACCACATCTTCACATCTGAATGATATAAGGCCTGAGATATTTGACATAGTCCGGTTCACATCTGGGTCCGGTTCACATCACATCATCACATCACATCACATCACATCACATCACACCGGGACAGTGATGTTGTACCAGCCTTGCGTAGTGACGTCATACCCCCTACCGCGACTTCTCCATTTCTATCTCTATTTCTTAACAGCGCAGCGTACCTTGGGGCACTATGTCTTTGACTTTGTTTTGTTGGCCTCATCCGGACAGTCGGCTGGCCGCCATTTCTCGTCTGACATCGCGTCCAACTCGAGCCAGGCGACGCGCAAGTGCTGCAGCATGAACTGCTTGAATGCCTCTCTCGTCCCCTCCAGGTACTTGTGGACAGGCGAGCCGTTCTGCAAAACAGCAAGCACCAGACGATGTTACTGTCGGCCCATCTGCTACGGGCAAGTGAGCGAGCAGCGTGCTGAGCTGCGTCACCAGCAAGCGTTGGTATTCCTCACTGTTTACTGTTTGCATCGGCGTCATGCGGGGAGGCAAATAACATGACTAAGAGACCACCGGTTGACGACTCGACCACTCGGTTGACCACTCGACCACCACGAGAGACCACTCGGACTGCGTCGTAAAACATTGCCATCTTTCACAGATACTACTTCCACAGGTGGTTATGTAATATTTCCATCTTAAATGGCGCAGGATTGTGATGATGCAGTTACATGCGACATGTTTCTGTCACCTCCGTTTCGTGATATTCCAGCGTCGGGTGGATGTTGTGCAAGTCACAAAATATACTCGGGTAACAACACAAACAGGATTCAAGAGTTCTGGAGTCTGAAGGGGCTGGGGGGAGGGAAGCACGAGAGGTTGCAAGTCGTCTTGCTCTGACATTGGCTTTCGCTGTTTGGAAAAAATACTGAAAATACACTGGGTGCGTGTATTTGGCTGGTACCTCCGAGGATGTGCTGTTATCCACGAGCGTCTCCAGGTCGCGGAGCCAGCCCATGAGCGTGGAGAGGCCCTCTGCGACCAGCCGGTCCCTGACCTGGTCCAGCCAGGTGGGTCGTGCGATCTTCCCATACTCAATGATCTGCAACAATACGGTGCCGAATGACCCACCGCCCGCGCGACTCGAGCCCATCGGACGCTGCCACTCCTCATTCTAAGGATGGGCGCACAGCACGTTGAAGGAAATCGCCCCTCCCGGCGGACCAGGGGCCACACAGCATGCAGGCGCTGGGCAAACATCAAATGCCAGTCAAGAACAAAGCGTCATTACCAGCACGCGCAGTTTTTCAACTTTCAGGCCAGAAGACCTAAAATATGAAAGAAGCTGGCATAACAAGATCCTGTTATCCTTCAAATTTGACGCGTGGCTAATCAGAACAGACGGCCAATTACGGTTAACGGCTCAGTTTGACGTATGGCTAATTGCGATACAGGCTGAGTGGGGTAACGCAAGGCTCGGTCAGGTGTAAATACCTACCACAGCTTCGATGAAAACGCCCGCAAGTGGCATGCGATGCAGGCACGTCACGCGGCGGACGGCTGGTTAACGCTGCGCTGACGCGAAGCACCGCGTCACGAGAGAAGTCGGCACACGCAACTGGCCAAGGCGTTGGTCCCACCCGGTAACATGCTCACCTCCCTCAATGGTTGGCAGATGATGTGCATACTGGAGTAGAAGGCCGTCTCCTTGCTGAAGCCCTTCCCCATTTCGGTCTCAGCCCGCGTCTGAATATGTTTCACCCAACGCCGGGAAAATGTGCTCTCTGAGCGCCTCAGCTGAAGACAGACGACAAACATATCAAAGGCGTGCAAACAAACCCCAGATAAGCAAACATAATTGCTGTCCAGCACAGCGACAAAGGAAGTCTTCATAGTAGAATACGTCTGTATAGTGGTGAACATCCAGCATGTATCCTTGAGCAAGATCAACATTATATAAACCAGCACTATCCACTTCAACATCCCAAACTCCTCCATGTTATAACAAACTGGGGCAGAACCCACCCTTACCGATAGATTCTCCAGGCTTTTGAAGTACATGGACGAATAGTACGCTGCATAGAGCTCCATCAGCAAACGACGGGCTAACGTCATGTCCTCTGTGCTCATCTGGTCACCGACGCGCCGCTCCATCGGACTCGTGGGGGTCGGCATAACGCGGCACATCAGACACTGCCACGGCCCCCTGCGGACAAGAGGATCACGGCCGTCAAACGCGCCACCGACGCACGTTCGCAGCTGCCACCGCAAGTGCTGGCACCTAGCGACAGGCACAACGCTACGCGAATCACACGACGGAACGACACAGCCGTACGAGCCTCAGCCGGACGGGAACGCTCTCAGCCAGCTGCAGCGCTCGACGCTCAATCTGCTCACCGGCCGTCGCTCCGGCCAGCTCACCTGTCAGAGTGGTCCGCAGGACCGACGTAGCATTCACGGTGGAAGGCGCGCTCGCAGTAGTCGCAGAGCAGCAGCTCGCCGCCGTCCCAGCACAGCACGCAGTAGCTGACGTTGGGGGACGGGCGGCCGCGCTCTGGCGGCTGGTGCGGCGTGTCGGATGGGCGACCGACGTCGGGCCCGTCGAGCGACGAATCCCCAGATGTCCACCCCGCTCCCGACTGGTCGCCCTCCGCAGCCGGGGCTGGGGCGCTGGCCGAAGAGCCCGGTCCTGCGCCTGTCGCCGCGCCGGTACAGTCAGAAGAGGAAGACGACTGGCGCCTGGGTTCGGTCGACACCTGCTGCCGGTCAAGGCCTTCCGTCGCCGCCCGGATCGCACTTGCAGCAACCGGGCCGGAACTGACCTCGGCCGTGGCATCGGCAGCACTAGCACTTTCAACACCGCTATCAGAGACGCACGTTTCACCAGAGCCCCCGATGTTTGACGACTGAGCTACGTCGTCACCAGATACCACAGGCTGACCCAGGTCTTCCGCAGCCTCATCAGACCGGTGCATATCGTCTGCAGCGGGAGGTTGATCCTGTCCTTCACAGCCGGGAGGCCGGTTAGCGGCATCTGCATAAAAAGCGGACTGGTCCGCTTCCTGAATGAGCGGAGACGAATTATTGTCTCCCGTCGCAGGTGACCCGTTCGTTTCTCCAGAGAGCGGAGTCTGGCCCACGCCCTCAGCGGCGGGGAGAGACTGACTAATCTCCCTCGGGGACACAGACTGCTTCGTGCCCTTCGCAACGAGAACACTTTGGTCCACCACTCCCGCAACGGGAGGAAACCCGACTGTTTCTGTAGAAGTCAGATCTTGGTCCTTGCTATTCGTAGCGGGCACAGGCTGCCCGGTTTCGTTACAATGCAGAGGCTGATGTACGACTTCGGCGGCGGGAGAAGACTGCTCCATGCCACCGGAAGGGACAGGCGACTGGTCCGTGTCTTCTGCAGGGCACGGACACTGGTCCTTGCCCGCAGCGGCGGACGGAGACTGGTCCCTGTCTCCTACAGTAGGATGACACTGGTCCACATGGTCCTCAGAGGGCGGAGAGAAACCCGCGACGTTCGTATCAACAGACACCGGCGGCGAAATTTGCCCCGACGGCGCCGCCGGTGGACTGGGACGAGCCACCGCCAAGGCGGACTGGGACACCGCCTCTGACGGCACCGCCAGCGGACTGGGACGAGTCGCCACCGGGGCGGACTGGGGCACCGCCTCTGGCGGCACCACCAGCGAACTGGGACGAGTCGCCACCGGGGCGGACTGGGGCACCGCCTCTGACGGCACCGCCAGCGGACTGGGACGAGTCGCCACCGGGGCGGACTGGGGCACCGCCTCTGACGGTAACGCCAGCGGACTGGGACGAGTCGCCACCGGGGCGGACAGGGGCACCGCCTCTGACGGCACCGCCAGCGGACTGGGACGAGTCGCCACCGGGGCGGGCGGGGGCACCGCCGGGGCGGACAGGGGCACCGCCGGGGCGGACAGGGGCACCGCCTCTGACGGCACCGCCAGCGGACTGGGACGAGTCGCCACCGGGGCGGACAGGGGCACCGCCTCTGACGGTAACGCCAGCGGACTGGGACGAGTCGCCACCGGGGCGGGCGGGGGCACCGCCGCTGGCGGCACCGCCCGCGGACTGGGACGAGTCGCCACCGGGGCGGGCGGGGGCACCGCCTCTGACGGCACCGCCCGCGGACTGGGACGAGTCGCCACCGGGGCGGGCGGGGGCACCGCCTCTGACGGCACCGCCCGCGGACTGGGACGAGTCGCCACCGGGGCGGGCGGGGGCACCGCCTCTGACGGCACCGCCAGCGGACTGGGACGAGTCGCCACCGGGGCGGACAGGGGCACCGCCTCTGGCGGCACCGCCAGCGGACTGGGACGAGTCGCCACCGGGGCGGGCGGGGGCACCGCCGGGGCGGGCGGGGGCACCGCCTCTGACGGTACCGCCAGCGGACTGGGACGAGTCGCCACCGGGGCGGACAGGGGCACCGCCTCTGACGGTAACGCCAGCGGACTGGGACGAGTCGCCACCGGGGCGGGCAGGGGCACCGCCTCTGACGGCACCGCCAGCGGACTGGGACGAGTCGCCACCGGGGCGGGCAGGGGCACCGCCTCTGACGGCACCGCCAGCGGACTGGGACGAGTCGCCACCGGGGCGGGCGGGGGCACCGCCGGGGCGGGCGGGGGCACCGCCTCTGACGGTAACGCCAGCGGACTGGAACTAGCCTCTACCCGGGCGAGCGGGTGCACCACCCGCGGACTGGGACAAGTCGCCGCCGGGGCGGGCGGGGGCACCGCCTCTGACGGCACCGCCCGCGGACTGGGACGAGTCGCCGCCGGGGCGGGCGGGGGCACCGCCGGGGCGGGCGGGGGCACCGCCTCTGGCGGCTCCTCGACGCACAGCTCTATGTCCAGCGACTCTTCGGCACCATCCTCGGATGAACTGTGCCGATCGGCGTGGTCTGGGGGCGCGCAGTTGCGCAGAATAAATTCGTCCGTGGCCAGGACACCCGGAACTGAAAAACGAAACACGCGCGGTTAAAGCGCACGGCCAGGATTCCACCCCAAGCGACGCTCGAATCATTGCTAACAGGTATATTCTGCTTTGTACTTCAAGGAATCCAGTAAAATCCACAGGCATATCCGAGCAACTACATGTGCTAAGATTAGAGCTTGCCTTATAACCAACATCTTTCGCTGTCACTTGTGACCGAGATCCAGGAGAGCGCGGCAGAAATCACCATAACATGCCGCCGCACCTCGACTGGCAAGCGTTGTCTGCGCTTGGCGTATCTGTCATGCTCAAAGTTTACCGATACGTACCATGACAGTACAGCAAACTGGTTTCTGAAGCTACAGCACGTAGCAAAACGCAAAAATAGACAATCACGCGAAACTCGCAGCACCATACATGCTCATTACAATGGAAACCAGCACTTGGCCTCCCGGTACGCACTGTCAACACAACAATGCTGAGCTTCTCACCTGTCATGGTCGCCGAGGCGCTGTTTTTCCCTGCGTTGGCGAGCGACGAAGCCTCATCAACGCTGCACGAAGAGTCCTTGCTCTGGGAGCGCGAGCCCCGCGACAGCGGCGAGCCCGGCGCGGCCCGTTCAGCCGGCGGCGAGCCCGGCGCGGTCCGTTCAGCCGGCGGCGAGCTCAGCGCGGCCCGTTCAGCCGGCGGCGAGCCCGGCGCGGTCTGTTCAGCCGGCGGCGAGCTCAGCGCGGCCCGTTCAGCCGGCGGCGAGCCCGGCGCGGGCCCGTTCAGCCGGCCGCGCCCGGCCGGCCGCCACATTCTGCGGCGGAGAGCGCGGCTCGGCGCGGTCGGCGCCCGGCTGCCGCGGCTTGCCGCCAGACGGCCGGCCGGACGCGGGGCGCGGCTGGGGGACCTTGGTCCCGGGCCGGGGCGCCGGGGGCGCCGCCTCCTGGCTCCGCCCGTCCGACGGCCGGTTCAGCATGAAGCGGTTCGGCTGCGTGTCGGTGGGCCGCTGCGGCACCAGCATGTCCCGGTCGGCTCGGCCTCGCTTCAGAGGACGGGTAGACTCCCCGTGGCCGACCTTCGGGTCACGTCGGGTCGACTGGCTGCTGGCGCAGGACTGATGCTGTTTTACCTGCTGGCCGGAGGGAGCGTCCGGCTGTTGCTGCTGCCTTTTCTGCCGAATAAGTGGAGGCGCAGACTGGAGGTGGCTACCCTGCGCCGCGCCGCCGCCAGACGGCCGGCCGGACGCGGGGCGCGGCTGGGGGACCTTGGTCCCGGGCCGGGGCGCCGGGGGCGCCGCCTCCTGGCTCCGCCCGCCCGACGGCCGGTTCAGCATGAAGCGGTTCGGCTGCGTGTCGGTGGGCCGCTGCGGCATTAGTATGTCCCGGTTGGCTCGGCCTCGCTTCAGAGGACGGGCAGACTCCCCGTGGCCGACCTCCGGGTCACGTCGGGTCGGCTGGCTGCTGGCGCAGGACTGATGCTGTTTCGCCTGCTGGCCGGGGGGAGCGTCCGGCTGTTGCTGCTGCCTTTTCTGCCGATTAACTGACGGCACAGACTGCAAGCGGCTACCCTGCGCGGCGCCAGCGGCGTGCTCCGCGCGGACCTGCCGTCCTGCCACCTGACCGTCAGATAGTCCCCGCTGGCTTCCCGCGTTGGCGGCCGGGTTCGATCGTGACAGTCCCGTCCCCTGGTCGGCGCCCTGGGACCTGACCTCCGGCTGCCCGGGCGCACTCCGCTCTGCCTGTGTCAGCGATGCCCGTCCCTGGAGGCTCGCCTGGGCCCCATGAGCGTCGCTGCGTCTCCTCTTCCGTCCGGGCTCCAGCGGTGCCGTGTCGACCAAACTGTCGGTGCTACCGCGCCGCTTCTCGGCCCGCTGCGCAGGCGGCGCGCCTGCAGGCGCCGGCGTCCTGGAGCCATTCTGAGAAACACCCGCGCCACTCCCAGATGTGACCGACGCTTCAACCACGTACACCGCCGGCGATTGGTGGATGATCACCATCGGAGGAGCAGGCACCGCGGGCAGCACAACCTCCTCCTTCAGCAGCCTCGTCACTTGCGGCGGGGAGGCGCTGAGCGGCCGCGGGAGCGCAAAGTCGGCCGCCTGCGCCGGCGCGGCGTCCTCGGCCGTCCGCGGTGCCTCGCCGGCCGGCGGCGGGTCCCCGGACGCCACGGCCGAGGGCGGGGGCTCACCGCGCCTGCGCCCGCTGACGGCGGGCGGCGGCGGCTGGCCTGACGCGTCGCCCATTAACGCGTCCAGTGCGTCGTTCAGAGCCTGGAGGGGGTCGGAGGAGGGCGAGCGGCCCACTGTCGGCATGGCGCCGACCGGGTCGCTCAGCGAGAAAATCTCGCTAATGCGCAGCGGCGACGCGCTATCGGTAGCGGCCGTCGCCAAAGTCGGCTCGTCGCTGGAGACGCCGGTCTGGGGGACATCCAGAGTGAGCGCCTCGCCGCTGGATACGCCGGTCTGGGGGGCATCCGGAGCGAGCGCCTCACCGCTCGGGACGCCGGTCTGGGGGGCACCCGGAGTGAGCGCCTCGCTGCTTGAGACGCCGGTCTGGGGGGCACCCGGAGTGAGCGCCTCGCTGCTTGAGACGCCGGTCTGGGGGGCACCCGGAGCGAGCGCCTCGCCGCTGGAGACGCCGGTCTGGGGGGCACCCGGAGTGAGCGCCTCGCCGCTGGAGACGCCGGTCTGGGGGGCACCCGGAGCGAGCGCCTCGCAGCTTGAGACGCCGGTCTGGGGGGCACCCGGAGTGAGCGCCTCGCCGCTGGAGACGCCGGTCTGGGGGGCACCCGGAGTGAGCGCCTCGCCGCTCGAGACGCCGGTCTGGAGGGCACCCGGAGCGAGCGCCTCGCCGCTTGAGACGCCGGTCTGGGGGGCACCCGGAGTGAGCGCCTCGCTGCTTGAGACGCCGGTCTGGGGGGCACCCGGAGTGAGCGCCTCGCCGCTGGAGACGCCGGTCTGGGGGGCACCCGGAGCGAGCGCCTCGCCGATGGATCGGCCGATATCTCCCAGAGCAGGTGGCGTCCTCGTCCGACCGCCGGCCTCCGCTGACCGGCCCGTCCTCGACGACCCCTACGACGTCACAATGGCGTCACCAGTGCGTTAACGTTTGTAGCGCGCATGGTCATCTTACCTACGTAGCGGAAGTGACAGTTTGGTTAACCACTTATCGCCTAGGACCAGACGAATGCTGGTGTGTGCAGCAGAGTGGGCATGTCGGTCTGCCTGCCGTATAATCAATATGCATTTCAAAAGTGCGCCGGGAACCCGCGAGCAACACTTCGGTGTGCTGAAACGAATCGCAATGGATTGCACAGTATTCATCTCTTCTTCCAACATTATTCAGAACCAGCGTTCCAACGTAACAAGTTACAGGACACAAGCAAAGACAATTGAGGAAAGGACATTGAAGCGACAAACACGAGGGGAATTTCATGCAGCGGCACACGCAAACTTACTCATTCGAAGAAGTTATGCCCGTAAATATGTCCGTCTCATGCCCACCCCGAATGACTACACATCGTCTTAGAGCACCGCAGCATGACAAAGAAGAACGTGGCCTACCTGGGCCGCTTCGGCGTCGTTCTCCTCGTCCTCATCGTCGGAGAGCATCCGTTTTCTGCCCAGCGGTACCCGGAACTCCTTGTCCAGCGAGAGCTGGCGGGTCGGCCGGGACGGCTGGGGTGTGGCAGGGCTGTGCCAGGTGATGGTCGGCTCTGGAGGCTCCGGCTCGGTCGCCACGCGCTGCGCCGCTGCCGCGCCTTCTCGCGCCGGCTGCCACCGCTCGGACGACGGCGACGCCCGGAGCTGAGCAGCCTGAGCAGGCAACGCCGGCGTCTGTCGCCCCGGAGTCGGCTGTGCTAGCGGTCGCGGCGTGCTGTTCCACGAGTGCGGCGCCGCCGTGGCCGTCCTCCCCGCCCAAGACATTGTCTGGGCGGGCCGCTCTCTGATCACGGCCTCTGACGTCATGAATTGGTGCTGTAGGCTCTGATCTTGCATGAATTGCTGCTGTGGGTTCTGATCGCGCATGAATTGCTGCTGTAGGTTCTGATCCCGCATGAATTGCTGCTGTGGGTTCTGATCCCGCATGAATTGCTGCTGTAGGTTCTGATCCCGCATGAATTGCTGCTGTAGGTTCTGATCCCGCATGAATTGCTGCTGTAGGTTCTGGTATGACGACGGCGGCAGACGCGGAAACGAAGGAAGCTGCTGCGGCTGTTGATACCGCGGGCGCTGCTGAAAGTGTGCTGGCTGATACGAGGGAGGCGGCTGCAGATGCTGCTGCTGCTGCTGCTGCCTCTGATGCAGTCGCCGCTGACATAGGTCGCGCGCTGGTGGCGACTGCTGGTCGCCGGCGGTGGACGCGGCGAGCCACCTGGCCAGCCGCGACACCTCCTGCTCCTCCTCCTGGGAGGTCCCCGAGAGCGCAGCGGCGGCCCCCGGCTGGTGCTGCAGAGCCGGCGTGCTGGGCGTCGGCCCCCGGCCCGCATCAGGCTCGCCCCGCGCGCGCAGAGTCGTCCTGGTGTGCAGGACGTTTATCATCTTCAACAGCTCCGGTCGAATTGGTTCCAGATTGCAGATGGTCTGGAACAGCAGCCTGAGGAAGCTGAAGCCGAAGTCGGAGCCCATGTTGAGTTCCTGCGTCAGGACGTGGTGCGTGACGTCCAGGAGGGCCTTGCAAAACGCGGACTTCTCCATCGGCTGGATGCAGAACGCCCCGTCGAAGAGCACATACGAGCACGAGCACATCATGTCACCAATCCCTGGAAACGTTATTTCATGGTCATTATAGCATGACATATGGGCGTTAACATCCAGCCCATTGCGTTCCCACGTCAGCACTATAACACAATTTTCAACCAAGCTTCAAACGAAAAGAGCGTACACAAGTACGTTTCATGACGAAAATGCATTGCATACACCGTAGTTTAAAGCAACGGCAAGGGTACCATGGAGGGATGCGAGAAACAACCAGCTGTTGTATATATACTTATTAGACATATTATACTGTATGTACTATATTATGTATGTATCACACTATATATATGTATATATATATATGTATATATATATATATATATATATATATGTATATATTTAACTGTTGTAATATCTATGAACCCAACGTTCAGGTCTGGGATCCCATACGATACTTTCGTAGATTTCAGCATGGATCCTGGATACGGGGAAATAATTTATTCAATGAAATAGATCTCATGGCTTGGCCACATCCACTGTTTGGTCGAACGCCATTTAAGTATCCCAGATCAATGGATGCTTTAAGTCTTGCGAACGGCATTTTCTGCGACAACAGCAGTACAGGAGCGACAACCTTCCTTCAAATGTAGGATATTAAAACCTTCAATGTAGGATATTAGAAAGCAATGCTACATTACTCATGACTGTCTGCAGTGGAGCTGCCTCCAGGAAAAAAAGAAAGAAGAAAAGAACGACGGCATCTATGGCAGGAGTGTGTGATGTGTAATGGTACTGTTGAAGCCAAGTGTAGTGCCTGGGGTCCTCAAATTTTAAAATATTCTGACGCAGTAACTTACTGTCAAATGGCACGACCCGACGCATTTGCAGCTTAGGAAGTTTGTTTTCCATCTTGGGGTTCATATCCACACTTTTAAGTCGTTTAGTTATCCCGATGACATGTCTGAAAGGAAAAACGAAACGCTGTAATCCAGGGTCACGGGGGTCATTAGAAGAACCGTGCGACCATTTCGCTTCGACAAACATCATATATGTAGTGTTCTCTTGCCATGGAAGTTGGTCTGCGATTTTGTCTCTTCGTCTCAGTCTTGTTTCTGACCCAGTGGTTTACTACACTTTCTGTCTTCGCTTAGAGATAAAGCCGCTTTATATAGGGCAAAAGGCATGCCCTCACGCTAGCTTTCAAGTTCGCCTAACCAACCTCCAGCAAGTCCGCAAAGGCATCGGCACCAGGCCAAGCACGACAAGCAAACGTGAGGTTGCTTGGCGGGATATCGAGCCACGCAGGCCATCGAAAGGCTGGCGTCCGACGCCGTGTGGGCTCCGACGGTCAGCTGGCGTCCGACGCCCTGTCGGCTCCGACAGTCGGCTGGCGCCCGACGCCGTGTCGGCTCCGACGGTCAGCTGGCGTCCGACGCCGTGTCGGTTCTGACGGTCAGCTGGCTTTCGACGCCGTGTCGGCCCCGACGGCCAGCTGGCGTTCGAGGCCGTGCCGGCTCCGACGGTCAGCTGGCGTCCGACGCCGCGTCGGCTCCGTCGGTCAGCTGGCGTTCGACGCTGTGTCGGCTCCGACAGTCAGCTGGCGTTCGACGCCGTGTCGGCTCCGACAGTCAGCTGGCTCCGACGACCGGCGGGCGGCGCGCGTGCGGCCGACTCACCTCGAGTTGTTGATTAGCGTCAGCGGCCGACCGTTCTCCATCAGCTGCTGGGCGAAGCTGTCGAGGTGCGCCAGCCTCATCTCCATGAGTGTCACGTTGTTCAGGTGACCCAGCAGCTCGCGCTTGTACACGTTATACTTCAACTGAGCTACCTCCAACTGTCTCGAGAAGTAGCCCTTTAAGATCTCCTGCTGCCTGGGGCGGGGAGAGGGATAGGTCAAGTGACCTTTACGTTGCGGTCAGCAGGACAAAATGGCGGATGGTGAATAACAACATTTAACAGCGTAATGACAGTCAACCGCATCAACCAAACATGCGATACTGCACTGTGTATGACCAAATGTAACCCGCCTGCTTGAAGACTGAAAGTTGTGACGGTAGGCAGATATTGACAACTCGTGAATCTTGTCGAACGGTAATAGAAGCGCATGTGATTGCATTGCCCACTCATGCAAGCCGTTCCGAACTTCACAACGTCATGAACTTGTCCCTGGTGTTTGCTATCGATGAACCCATACGGCCGACCAGAGAGTGCTCAGCGAAGACCACGGTTCAAATAGCGGTACCAGTTGCCTTTTGAGGTCTCTCAATACTGTCGACAGCTTCTAGCCACTATGCAGCAGTCAGCCGCACTCTGCTGATACACCCTGCATCGATGAACACCAGGTATGACATCGCTCGACTCACTGCTTGCACAGGGCTGTGATACGATCCAGTGCCGCCAACATCTCCGTCTCTACCTCCGCCACTCTCTCCTGCAGGCTCGCCCTTCGCTTTTCAAGGGTACTTCGAAGCTCCCTGGGATGACGGAAACGACAGTGAGACAGTGATTTTCTGCCGCCCCGGACACCTGCTCTGCAAAACAAGCGCATACATTCCCTCGAAAATGGTGTGAGGGAATAGGGACCGAGGTGCTACCACAAATAAGCACGTGTGATGTGATGAAAAGTTCAAACCAGACGTGCCATAATGGGAATCAACACGCATTTACTCTGGTCACTATCATGCGAATCTGCAGATAAAAACATTCCGCCCTCAAGTCTCATCAGAAGGATTCTGATGCCATCATCTGATGCCAGACAGCCATGGTCCAGAGCTGTAGGCCGACACCGCTGCTGTCTCGGCCACCGATGCACGCGATCCAGCAGATTGTCAATGAAATGCACCCAGAAGAGCCGCAAGCCCCCAAAGCAGACGTCACTTCGCTACACGTGATTGAGAGCTGAACTCGGCAGCACCGTTCGTGGCAGCGCTGCGCCATCTACCGTCTAGTTCGCAAGAACGTTACTCGTCTATTTTATGGCTTTGCGCGGCCGTTGATTGCGCTGATGTACGGTAAATACGGTTGTGTCGTGTGTCATTTCCGGGAAGGTTTGTCGCACGAATTAAGCTCCCTCATCAGTTTGGCCAACCTTTGAGGATAAGAGAACCCCTCCAGCCATGGCGAGAAATTACGGCAAAATTAGCTGGCAACGTTGCATTGCGATTCAGTACCGAAAACAACAATCAAGAACTTTTATTTGAAATGGCACAGATGTGACTCGCTTTGCCGGGGCCGCCGTTGACGTCGGCCCACCGCCAGTCCGTCCCAGCAGCCGCCTGGCAGCAGCAGCGGAGGGCGCGTGGCGGCCGTCCGGACTCCTCGGACAGGCAGCCTGCGCGCGCGCCCGCCTCCAGTCCGGCCCGTTGCCCGCCTCAGACACAGTTCTGTCCTGACTTCTGAGCCTCACCGACCCGCCAAAACAAGCTGAAGACGGCAAACGTTACCTAAAATGAGGGCTTGATGGCAGTGGCGTTACTTTCTGTATGTGTCAGACGACACCATTCCGCATAATACCGTCTTTTTGGGCCTTGGATCATCTTTGATGGAAAGAAAAAGGACACTTATCCGTTGATAGCATTCGATCAGTTCAATAAGGGCTTTATGAACCACAACTCATTCTAAGCGTTCCATACAAATGCAGCTTGGCATCGGTTTCAAATGAAGATTCAATCCTCAACACGAAAACGATTGCGAAATCTACCACCTCTTCTCATGAAAAAACGACATGAGAGACGCAAATTGAAGTGACAGAAATCTGAAGAGAAATCAGAGTGTAGGGTATGCTGGTTCAAATCTATCGGCTCAGCCCGAGAACCGGTTTTAGAAAGTAGCACCTCTATATGGCAGGACAAAATAACTTCAGATTCCCACGGAAGGTCCCCCGGCGACCGTTTCTCCGTGTTGTTCCGCCGGCGCATAGCTGCTGTACGCGTATACTGGTACCTTTGATATACTGGTTCCAGCCCATTCGCTCCCTTTGCCACTAACTTACACTGAGAGCTTAAGCAATGCTTTAAAAAGTACAAATGTTACAACAAATATACAATTATGGCGCGCTCAAATATGCGTTCGCCACAAGCGGCCTCGCATTTCAACTTTTAGCTGATACATGTTGGGTTCATTGAGCGGTGGGTGGGCCCAAACGATAGTGATGAAGTATTCGCAAATTCAAAACGTCCGATATTCCGCAAATTTGCTGATAGTTCGTGGTTTTATTTCCACGCACTACTACATCGTCGTTTCACCACGCCGGGAGGGGTCAAATCTGTCGCCTTGTCGATTGAATGGATAACTCAAAAACTGCTAAAATAACGGCTATGAATTAAGGTTTCATCAAGTCAGAGTGATGTCATGTTCGCCGATTTTTGACAAAAGCGTGAAGCTGACTGACATGAAAACGGACCTAGTGAATATATTCCATATTTGTAAACGGGAAGTGAGTGCCAATATCAGGTCATCATTCATATGCCTTGTTGTGTTTTTCCAATATTAAGGCGTATCAAATAACACAGCTATTGATAAACAGTACGCTAAAAATGTTTGGCCGCCTCAAAATAATGAGACATAATACAACACGTCCTAGACCAGGCTATAGACAATGTCTGTACCGCGTTCCACGCGGTTTTTGTAACAATGACTGAGCTATGACCTACAATGCATAGCAGCGTATGTTGGCAGTGCCGATGTGTGCCCGGACCCCCGGCAGCGGACGGCGGAGCTCCGGGCTGCCACAGTGACGTGACCGGGCGGCGAAAGGCGCTTTTGCAACTCGATCCGAGGTCACACGTCAAGGTTCCATCCGTTAGCCATTTGAATTTGAATTTGGCGCCACCGTTCTTGAGATAAGCAGGCGGTATCAAATCTGCCCATCCGGTGTTGGTGGTATACATCCGAGGGACCCGGTCAACGTTCAGTATGCGAAACATGGGAGCACCGGCCTTTCAGCCTCAAGTTCCCATACACATGACCAGCCCGTGTTCCACAGCGCTGGGCGGCCGGGATGATCTCGCCGTGTCGGGTGACTTCCGGATCAGACGGATTTTATGCCGCCAACGCAGCGCAGTTGACACCGCGCCAGGGCGCGGTTCCGGCGCCCTCTCGCTCAGGCGGCAGGGGCGCCGCGCGCGCGGCGGCCGCCAGCCGCCCGGGATGACGTCCAGGGCGCCGAGTGGGGCAAGCAGACCCAGACCGGCAGGAGACTGGCAAATGACCCGCCGAGCCGGCCCACTTTACTGTTCACCCGAGGCGGCACAGATAGCACCTAGCCAAACACTGCTGCGTTGAAATTGTCCGCTAGAGCAGCCGTTTCCCAGCGACATGCTGAACTTGTGCTTCATTCCGATGGGAGGTGGCATGGCCACTGCCCCGTGGGCGGCGCGCGTATCGTTGGGACGACAAATAGCCTTTTCCTTACTGCCGACCCGTAGCAGACCTCGGCCCGGCCAGCTGGAGATGTTGACCGCAACAGCACGCCGTGTTACTAGAAAGCTGCCCCAAGCTGGGTCATGAGAATTGGCTTACTCGGGGCATTCGACAAAAATACAAGCCATATTTAGGATTGTGTGTCAAGTTAGACAACTGCGTCGACTCGACATACGAAGGCCAATGCCTGACATTCTAATTAAGTACGCAATCAGCGAAATCCATTGCGCATAATAAGGCGACTCATGTGAAGTTGAAGGGGCCAGACTACAGCACAAAATCTTAACTACCAAACTTATGTGGAACCTTGTTTCATTTCGGACATCACGATGTCGGTTTCACATTAGAAGTAAGAAGCAAGAGCAGGCGAAGGGCGTTGGAACTCAACAAATTTACCGGAAATTATCCTCTACTGTTCCTCCAGTCAAGAAATACTTGGCTACCAACAGCACTTCTCAAATTCACTCCGGCTAATGCTCGTGCATTGAGTACAACAATGCTGGGTATTTTCAACATGTAGTTAATCGCAGCATTCCACAAGACAGTCAACTTACACAAGATATATCCAACACCAAGAAGGTATCTAACATTTCTATCTAATGTTGCTGTAGATACTGTCCATTTTCGTTCTACCTTCGAGCTGGAGCGGAATCATTACCATTGGCAGTGCCCATGTCACTGCAATGCTAATGATTCATGATATGAAATATAATTCATAATCATAATTCATATATTTGTATACATCATATGAAGCATGATTGATAAAAATGATCCATTTATAACTAATGATTCACAACGACAAATACAACATTTTTCACAACTTGATACAGTCCATTTCTCAACATAAACAACACACAGCATACGGAAAGATGTGGACATCGAGTGACGAAGCCAGGCACATATCCACTTATTACCGTCAATCCTCCTCATTCCAGTGGCCAAGCCACATGCTAGGTTTGCTCATGTGGCCAAGCCACATAAAAAACAATCATTGTGATGAACATGGCCCAATGGGCAAAAACCGATACTGTCTGAATTAAACGCTCATTGAACAAATGTCACAAATGCTATGCACTTCCTACAAATATCATAAAATAAGGACATCAGGTTCAGAGCAAATTATACTGTGCTTTGAGACACCCCCAATTAACGCAATCAAGCATCTAGGAACGGGAGGTGGGGCCTTACCCATACCAGCATTAATTAAATATATGGCATGAAAAGTTAAAGAAAGTGTCCATCTTTCGGCAATGTTTCACTAGTGAAACCTCATGATCAGTTACGTCTTATAATAACACTGGGTAGTGCCACTGCAGCACCGTGAAGACATAGGGGCATCAATCTTAATTATGTTCCAGCCAAATTACCATCAACGCTTTGTACCAGCACCACGCTTCTCCCCTGTTGTCGCGACCACCGTCGCACTTTCGCTGGTGGAAATACTAAATGGCACGGTTCCGTTCGTGTTGCAAACATTACAGAGCAAGCACACTGGAAAGAGCAACGCAATCGAAATGTATTACTTTCGTAGCAGCAAGCATAGAGTGATGACACGTGTCCTGCAGGGTCGCCTACTTCAAATCAAAATTCTGAGCTATTCAGAAGGATTTCGAGAAACCTGGCATTACTGATCAAATCGTATGCGCCTCATCTAACTATATCTGAAAACTATAAAAAGGTGGCAGACACCGTTAAACATCCCAGGCCGCACAACTTACGTCGCATTATGAAGACTCATTGGTGAATTGCGGAACAGTTTGCAATTTGTGCGGAGTCGAAACATATCAAATATGCACCAAATTCGGTTCCCCACATTTGTGAGAACGCCGGCGGGGCGCAAATGACTGACAGCGGAGGCAAACAGTCGTCCCCTAATCCACCCCAAACCGGAATGCTGACAGAGCCAACGGTACTGGGAGCAGATTATGTCGGACACCACGGCAGGCTTTAGTGCATAAATACGCTGCAGCCTGGCGCGGCCCGCGGTCCAGATGAGCCGTTTTCGTAGAACAAGAGGCTCATTGTTTACAGCGAGGTCTGGAGACAGGCGTGCTCCCCCAGATGCCAAACCATATCTGTACAAGCGCTGGTGCATTCGCGTGCAGCGCACTCCTTTCTCAGGCAAGGATGATATCCTTAATAACATTACCGCGGCACAGCTTAAAGATCGATGGTAGATACGCCCACAGTTTTACAATTGTTTAGTTTGTTCCACTGAAGGCGACCTAAACGTCGTAAGCGATAGTAAAGTGCACGGTCAGTACCTGTTCGTGCGAAAGAGTTCGCTAGTATTCCGGAGGACCATCGACTTGAGACGTTGAAAGGGAAGAGTCTCTATTAGCCAAAGAGTTGCAAGGCAAATGTAAGAGAGGGGTTGGAAGGGCGGCGTTGCACACTCCGAGGTCGTCGTCGTCGTCGTAAACGCGTCGAGCCGCACCGTCGGAGTCTGAACGTGGGCTGCTCGGCGGGGACCGTGCGTCCCCGCCTGCGTGTCCCCATAAACCCACGTGGCCCACATATGAGCTCCAGATGTGGGGACCAATCGGCAGAGGGTCACACCATCGTGGAGACGCCGCCGCCGCGCCGGCAACGACGGCCCGTTTGCTCGCTAACAGTACCCATAGCACGGCTTTACAGCCAACTTGGTCATGGCGTAGATGGTGTTATTGCCCTTAACGACGGTCTATTTCCGTCTCGACTTATCATATCCCCGGGTGGTGTCAAAAGCGAGTTCCAAGTTGCGTCAAAAGGACATTACAGAGACGAACCATTAAGTTCGTTGATTGGAGAGGACAAGTAAGCTGGATGAGAGGAGAAGCTGGTTGCAGGACTGCAGGACAGGACTGCAGAGCAACAATCAAAATTGTAACTGAATGAAAAATCCGGGCACCCGTTTTCCCAGCCTTCCGTTTCTGTTAACACTATGTCTGCCCCAATACCACATTTTCATGTTTTTGTTTTGCTCACGGGAAGTTTGCTTTCAGAAGGCCATGCCCAGCTGCGGACGGACGCATGCTGTCAGGGACGCGCGTACTTGCATTATTTTCGATGCCTTGTCACCAGTAACAGATGAAACTAATGTATGCAACAACGTGGGTGGTGTGAGGTCCTGCTAAATCAAAAGATGGTCCATGACGCCTTGGCGCGGATGACTGCCCCGCAGGATGGCGTCGCGGTGTGCTGTCGGGCGGCGCAGCGTGGCGACGGCCCGAAGGTCGGCCTGCCGCCTGCACCGTCGCAACAGCGAATTCCTTCCTGTTGCTAGGGGCGAGAAACCTTGGAGCCCGAGGGAGTGAGCGGGAGTGAGCTGGGGGGGGGGGGGGGGAAGAGAGAGAGAGAGATAGAGAGAGAGAGACAGGGAGAGAGGGAGAGAGGGAGAGAGGGAGAGAGAGAGAGAGAGAGAGAGTGAGAGAGAGAGAGAGAGAGAGAGGAGAGAGAGAGAAAAGGGGAGGAGAGCTGGAGGGGGAGGAATAGCAGACAGGAGGTGGGAGATACGAGAGAGAAGCGAGCCAAAAGCCCTCTGCCGCATCTTCAGCCGGTTTTGTCTCGCGACCCTTCATGTTGGCCATCCTGCTGGCTTCCGGTAGAGTTTTCTTGCTTTGATACGCAATATGCTAACCTGCAATTGGAGCGGGCCCATGTTGGCCCAACCAGGGTCAAGAGGGCTCCGGACGCGTGCCAGGGCCGAGAGGGCTTGGGACGTGTGTCTCACCATACCCTGTGGCAATGATGCGTATGCAGTTGACCCCGCGGCATTCCCCTTTGCTGCGTGATAAATGGCCTTGAGCTCAGAGTCCGAGCCGCCCGCGGGACCGGCAGTTCACCGACCTTCCGTTAGATAGCCTCCGTCTGATCGGCTTAGCTTATCTTGGTCTTGCCTTGTGTTGGCGCCAGCTTCAACTGTTTTGCCCGTCTTTCTGCCACGTGTTGCCCCGCTTGTCGGGCCCGCTCGCGCCCTCGCCGCGTTGGGGGGGGGGGGGGGGGGGGAGAGGGAGGGAGGGCATAAAAGGGTGTTTGGCGGGTGGTTCAGGACCTGCCCGACGGCGACACCTGACGCACGGGTGTAATGCACCAGGACGGACGGACGGACGGACGGACGGACGGCAGGACGTGAGGGAGGGAGGGGGATGAGGATGGCTGGTGTCCCAACGTGGCGAGACGAAGCGCACGGTACGGTCCGATTTTCAGCTACAGATGGACGCGGCTAGACCGGCATGCATAAGCTTCAAGTACGGTCTAAATGTAATCATCTCTTACATAACCTAATGCACCTTCTTCGCTTTCTTTCTCTGTGCCTCCTACGCACACAGCTTAAAGCTTACACCTCGGGATTAAGCACATCGAGATGTGTTCAGTGCGATGCTTTAGGGTAACAGTGCGGCCCGGTGCCTACACGGCACTAACTCAGCTTAATGGGTCCGCTTGCTAGCCCGCGTCGATTCATCCCTCCCTACAGCGTCCAGACACGTGCCCAGTGCATTAAGCCAACACCGTAGTACGCTCCGGACGCCAGGCCCGGGGAGCAGGTGTGCTGCAGGGTAAGGAGGTCATGATGACTGCGTGATCGCCGCTTCGACACCGCGATGGTGTTAGGGAGAGGGTTTGAACCACACTAAAAAAAATGTCTCAAGGGTAACAAGAACGTCAGATGCCCGCATTCACTTTGAATCGTCTTGGCTCATGACCAGCTCGCAAGCTATTTTTACACATTAACTCTTCAAGGTTTGCGGCCTTTTCCTTGTACATAATCGGACCGGCTGATGTCCAGTGTCTCAGAGAAGTTCATAGGGATTTGCTCGCCTGGTCTGCATCTTCTCCGGTCCCGGCATATCACATTGTGGTTGCATCATCCACGGGCTTGATGGTCATGTCAGGTGCAAACCACGAGTGGATGCCGACTTATCTTTTCTCCCGGATTCTCTAGCGAGGATGATGCTATTCTTGGCGTGGTAGTTCAAGGCCTCGCCACTCGTTCCTTGCATTTTGATGCTACCTTTAATCTAATAGGACACAAAGTTGGACTTCGCCAGACAAAAATTTTCACGGCCATCCAGATCTTTTAACTCTAGTACAATTTCCGTTGTGTTGATTTTTGAGACAAAGACATGCTATCCTTTGCTTTTCACACCTGCCTTTGCCAGGCCATCGCTCAGCTTCATAGAAAAATTCCGTAAGTTTAAACAACAACACGCCACTCAAGACTTCATCTCTTAGTGCAGCCTGCTCACGTGTAAACGGTCCCTTTCCTTCACTTGCCTTGTGGTTTCCTGCACCGCCGACGTCATCATGGATGATTTTAGCATGGGGCTTTCTTGCCTCCCACACATTACCATCGGTCTCTAGCTGGGGTCACCTACAAGCGTGAAGACTCGAACCTACCCTACAGAAGACGCACCCCGTCCCAGCAGTGAAGAGCGCTCACCTCATGCCAGCCAGGCGGGTCTTCAGCGTCTCCTTCACCTCTGCATCTTTGGCAAGCAGCGTGCACGACTGGTGGGAGCGATGCGCCGAGAGGATGCACTCCCCGCACCCCAACGTGTTGCACGTGTCACAGTAGTTGTCAAAAGTCTGAAACGTGCAGGCAAGGTCACGTCAGCGTTTGCGTTAGCCCGCTCCGGCGGCGGGGGCTGGATCACAGCTGCCAACCTACGCGTTTTGCAGTCACAAAACAACAAGGCCGTGGTCGAAACCGAGCTGACGTTGCGTCCATTTGGAACCCATGGGTCAAGCGTGATGAAACGTGCAAATGTAATCATTCCTTGGTTTCAATATAATATATCTTCCTTGGTTTCAATATAACTCTCAGCACCATGCTGGCAAAAACCGCGGGCGACGATCGAGGATATGGTTAATGAAAAATGCCGTTATTAGTGTCGGATTAAGATCGGCCATGATACGTGTTGCCGCCCAGAAAGCCTCATCTGGAAAACCCATCAGAACTAGCAACTATCATACGGACCACAAAGAAGCATGACGTTTTCAAAGAAGACTGGTCTGGCCGCTTCCTCACCCGTCAAGCCACACTCTGCTCTCCGATCTATGCGACGTCCAAGTCAGCAGGACGCGCCGCATGTGACCACTTCCCCTTTAAGTGTAGATAAGCCGACACCAAATTGTATCAGTAGGAATGCCGAGAGTTGAGAAACATTATTGAAAATATATCATTTACTGTCCTTTATGGCATCCGATGGCCGATTTTATACGATTCTGGTGTATTACAATGTATCGTTACAAAGGCATCCAGACCTGCACGAAAAACAGGGCAAGGCTGTGAAATTACTAGCCAAACCAATACATTCGTTCCTAATGCTCCCGAACCAAAAAAACAAAAAAACAAAAAAAACACAAAAACCACTGGAAGCCGTCGCTTCGCTAGGTCGTAATGCAGCCGCTTGTGTTCATCGCAAAGCATTCAGCACACGTAGTAGCGATGCCATAATCCGAAAATTTGGCAGAAACAAAACTGCAGGCGTGTGAGCACTGGGGAGCTAAGTAGGGTGCACCTAATGGTCAATAATGTCCTCGTAGATTTCCGACTTAAAATCATCCCTGCTTGTCACCTGCCGATTGAGCGCTCTTTCAGGCTCAGCTGTCCCGCTTCTGAGCGGCGGAGCTTTATGGGCGTTAAAAATCTGATTAATGTGGTGTGCAACATCCAATAAAAATGTACCATATATGCTTATACCTTATATGGTTTTGTGACTGGCACCACATTAAGACCAGGAATTTTGGATCAGTGTCCCTTAATGCACAAAAATCCTAGGGTACAAACATTCTGAGGCCAAGCTCATTTATGTATGTACCCCCTGACTTTTAAGGGCGTCGCTTGTGCAAAAAGAATATTTATGGACTGGATTTCTAAAACATTCTGCCCTTCTCATGTGGTCTTGAGACTTACACGATCGAATAGGCTGTGCCGAGGCCGAAGTAGAAATAAAAGCTATGCACGTTTACAGATGCGTGCACCACCTACACAAGACCGTGCTAATACCACACATGCCACACCACCATCTGTATGTTGAAGCCATCCTATAGTTTGTTTAATGCCATCGCTCGCCATCCGCGAGGAAGATGGCGAGCTTGTGACAGCGATCTGATTCTACTAGAGTCCCAGAACACGAGTTATACCTATTGTGCCGAAGTTACAAGTACAAGTGTGCAACTGTAATGTACACTATTGTAACGAAGAGACGACAATGGAACTGGTTTGGAGGTTGAGAGTGCCGCTCGAATGCTCACCTTGTAGTGACTTGAACACTGCTGTTGCGCACAGCTATCCTGGCACACATCGATGTTGTGTCCCCACGTTGGCTTGGTAACTCTGTGAGCCTGTAAATCCAGCCCCAATGCATGCTTAGAAAGCGAACACCTTAAAACGAAGTCCAAGCGCATAAAAACGCGATCGCTCAAACACGCGCTTCCGTGAAAGCCGCACACGTCATTTCAGCAGCCACAGTAGCGAGTGGGCACCACCTACCAACACACGCAGGCGTCACACACAGGCAAACCCCATCCAAACACCCAAAACTGCGCGAGATCCATTCACATGCCAGCCATCTGTGGCCACACCAAAGTCGTTCAAAACCGGCCCGGAGCAGTGCAGGGGGGGGGGGGGTACCTGAATGCAGACAGTTGCAGAGGTCAGTGCTGCATTCGGTGCACGTGCCGGAAGCGGCTGCCTGTCCGCCGCGCTCTGCGCACTGGCCGCAAAGCCGGCTCCGCTGCTCCTCGTGCTGCCGCTGAAGCAGCTCCTCCACCAGCGGGTGGTCCAGCAGCGACGGCGACGAAGTCATACATAATTGGCACTGGAATCCCGCTGTAAAGGGACCAGCCTTGACAACAGGGGTCGGGGACAACACGGTCGAATATCCCCGAAAGACTCGAATAACACAAATTTAGATACAGTGAACATCACATGGTAAAACTGCGGTAAATGTGGCATTTTGTGCAGTACCAATATGAATTTTGTATTGCCCATGTTTATCAGCCGAATTCACACTCAACCTTCAGTCTGTCAAAGCTGTATTGGACCACACTCCACCTGGCGAGTTTCACGATCTGAACCAAAAACCGTCCGACTAAAATTCAAATTTTACCAAAAAGATACTACATGAGAACTGTGCACCCTAAAATTTACCCAGCTCATATTTCCCGCTAAAGTTTCCCCTTTAATGATGGGCCCCTCCAATGATCGGCGTGTCCAACGTCTCCCGTAGGTGCCCAATTTTCTGCTGGCACGCCACTACCATCGCGTTTTTACAAAGCAAAATTGTGAAAAATTTAACTTCAAGGTTTCTCTTATGATTAAGGGCTTCTAACCCTTCATTCTAATCTTCAGGGTGTCATTTCCAACTGGCATCAAGAAAGCATATTGTAAGTGAATGTAGCAATGTTGGTATTCTTTACATCAGTTGCTATTGAAAGTGCTGGAACATATAACAACTGCGTAGCTATTAAACTGACACATTGAAGCAAGCCGTCACTGATGATCACTGGCATGTGGAGAGAGAAGTAATGCCGTTATTTTCACTCGGCGTTCTGCAATCTCCTTCGGGTCTTTAGAGATAAAGGCGTGTGAAGCTATTGCAAGATGATGCTATATATCCAAGCGTACTCGTACCATCAAAATACGACACCTGCGCTGAATATGAAACTTTCAATACTTCGGGATAATTTCTCCAATGTTCTCCAGCAGACAGGAATCACAGCAGATCTGATCACAACTACCAGAACGGGAGAAGGGTACACTGGAATGCTGCCGACAACTTCACACACCACAGCGGGGAGTTTGCAACGTTCATAGCACGATCGGTACGCACGTTTGCGTGCTTGCAACAAACATCGCTAGAAGACACCTTACAGCAGCACAGCCTCAATGCCCAGGCCCCTAACGTATCATTCTGCGGACGTGACGTCGTGCCAACGCAAGCACGACACATTCCAGGCGCACCACACAGCTGCTGACCAGGAGATCCTCCCGCAGCTCGCCATTAACACCCTGATTGTTGACAGCTTTGTGATCGCTTGCATCACCAGGCAGGGTCCATCGAGCAGGCGCTGGCCCACAGTAAGATATCTCATACACCCTGCTGCAGGTAGTTCAGATGAGCCTCTTTCACACCAACTGAGTCGAGCGTGCTACCACATGTGGAGCCATAATGGCATATGCGTAGTCCCGGAGGCAACAGCAAATGTTTAGACACCTTTCAAGAATGTTTCGTGAATGGGGAAACATCACCCGTTCGGTGACTGGTATTCCGTACGTATTCGCACGACCGGGAACGACCGCAATGCGTCTGTGCTGCAATTCATCGTTAATTCTAAGCGTTTGCCGTGCCTCCTGCTCCAGCCGACTGGAGACTTCAAGCTAGCACATCGCGATTTCAGACAGGTCCAGAGCCTAAACACAGCACACGAAATGAAATCAGCGTCGCAGAATTTTTTAAATAAAAAACAGAGCTTCGACATAGGAAAGGCACGCTATACAGACGAAGAAACGTAGTAACATTTAGGTCATCGCCAAACTGGTGTGGGATTAAGACTAAATCAACCACGGCAACATCACACGATTAGCCGCACAACACATGACATATGCACTATCGAACAGATTCCCACTTGATTCCAAGTGGATTCGTAGACCACACTTCGGAATGAATCAGGTCTTCAGATGCACAGGCGAAGGCGCGTCTCTTAAGGTGAGGGGAGGGGCATCAATTTTGAAAAAGATTCTTTCCCGGATCACCATAGCGTAAATACGAATTATTTCTAAAAAGTGGGGCACCACCCTCTGCCCCCAACCCCAACTTAAACAAAGCTGGTCAAATTAGGAAAGAAACACGTTTGTTGGCGTGCCTGAAAGGCAAGCTCAATCATGTTTCACTGTTCAGTCCTCCAAGCACATTTTTCAAAACTACAACCCTGAATACTACTAAACGGGGCCGGCAAAAATTGTGTTTAAATAATTTTGTCGGAACCGGGGCGTTGCTTGCCCCTTGGGCTATATGTCCTAATGCGCTATTAACATGAGCGTAAACGTGCGGTAGAACATTTGGATCCGCTGTATAAGGCATGCATTGCGAAGGTGCGTCACCTCGTTCACTGTATCCAGGTGTGGGATCTGTATTCATTTGAGGGGGGGGGGGGGGCGGGCTTCAGTTCCAACTTGAAAAAGTTGGGGGGCTCCAGTCCCCACAACTTCGAAAAGGAAGTGGGCAAAACCCGAGGAAAACTTGTTTGATAGCGTAACTTTAGGGGTAGCTCACGTAATTTTCCACGGTTTGAACTCATTTTAATAACCCCTGTTAAGGACAATCACCAAAAAACGTGAAGAGCTTACCATTAATGTCATGAGTGGCATAGAAATCCCAACAATGGAAGGTCCATCAACCCCCCCCCCCCATGTTGAAGCAAACCGATTTGTGACCTGGTGCGCGGATAAATTATGGTAAGCCTCTTTCCAGACTGAATTTGCATTTACGACGGGCATGTCAATGCACCAAAGAACCATTTACTGTCGGTCTTAGAGGTGTTTGGCACCATACGCTTGCTTCGGTATTTGTACATGATGCCAATACCCTTATCATCCCTATATATGCGCATCACCTTAGTTATATACCAGGTATGTTACCACTATTGTAACTACGGTAAAAGACGTGAACGCTTTTGCAGTTAGTAAAAAATTGAGTTTTAACATTTCAGTTGATGTACAGCCAACGCAAAACTGCGTTGTGCGTTCCAAGGTCTGCATCCCTACTTGTTCAGTGCGCAATGGCCTTACGTAAAAAAGTATACCACCGAAACGGAATATACCAGCAGCTTCCTAACAATACACATAAGGAGTTGGGAGTTCCTGACTCACAATCATCAATGATTAATATCACGAGATATTAGTCAAGTGGCGTTTTCACGAAAGCATTAGTAATGTTGATAAAACTCTCAAGTCATGATAAATTGATAAAACACAAAGCATTGCGCCGCAAAACCCCCAAAAGCTCAATTCTTTCTTGCTTAAGTCAAGACACACATAACCAAGGTTTACTGCACCCAATACAATCACGGGCATACTCCTCAGCATGTGACCTGGGCACCAACCATGGCTCAAGCCATCGCTTAGGTGCTTACTCCGCTCCCGTCACCGGTAATCAATACACCCTCACGTCACCGGTTATTCAATAACACTCACGTCAACGGTTATCGTAACACTTCCACGTCAACCGCGTTATCAATAACACTCACGTCACCGGTTATCAATAGCACTCACGTCACCGGTATCAATAACATCAACGTCACCGGTTATCCAATAACCTCACGTCACGGTTATCAATAACACTCACGTCACCGGCTATCAATAACACTCACGTCCCTCGGTTATCAATAACACTCACGTCACCGGTTCTCAATAACCACTCACGTCACCGGGTTCTCAATAACACTCACGTCACCGGTTATCAATAACACTCACGTCACAGGTTATCAATAACCATCACGTCACCGGTTTATCACTAACACTCACGTCACCGGTTATCCAATAACACTTATCACATGAAAAGTATTCATTACCACTCGACGAGCATTTTGTGCCTGGGTACGAAGGACGTGCAACAACCCCAGTGATGTTTATCCAGAACGCTCCAGCAGATGAAGAGTTGAAGGGAAGAGACAAATCAGTGTCACCCTTTATAAAGGTAGGTGAAACAGGAAAAAACGCAGCAAGCTTGAAACTGCCAGCACGAATGGCTGAGTCTCTTTGAACCAGGGGCGGCGCCACGGATTTTGAGCTGGGAAGGCAGCATTTTCAAAGGTCTCTGATGGACGAAAAGGGCCTCCTCACAAGGGGCCTCTGGGCAGTGTCGTATTCGAGGGAGAGAGATGTCGAGGGTATGAGCTCTTTCATCGAACTGTTGCATGCATCATACCCAAGAAAATAAACGTCGACATTAAAAAGACGGCATTGGGGAGGCTTCTTTTTATCCAGTCAGGGGTCTCCGTGGCCTAAAACACGGCCTCCTGATGCATAGAGCGGCCTCCTAATCCAGAACAGGATGTTTTGATTCGTGAAGGGGGCCTCAAAATCTAGCCAAGAAGCCTCGTTACCGCAAAATAGGGGTCCTGATTCGGAGCCGTGACCATCTGATACATGAAAGGGACCTCCTGTTCCATAAATGGGACCTCCTGAAGAAAGATAACCCCAGAATAAGGCCTCATAGTTTATAACAGGGGCCTCCCGAGACAACAAGGGGCCTTCTGAACACAACATTGGGTCTTCTGATCTAAAGCGTGGGCCACTTTACCTTTTTCATAAGGATGGCCGCATAATCCAGAAAACTGTC